GAAGTATTTTGCAATAATTATAATCATATTTTGGTATTTGCTCCATCTTTTAGAGCCAAAACGCACATTGTTCAAATCAAAATATTTGAGTTTTTTAAAAATAATGTTGCTTAACACTGTTCCAAAACTGATTTGTATATTCACAAAGATAAAACAAGTGATCAATCGTTTCAAATGCAGCATGAGAGAATTCGCACATCGGCGATTGTATTACGTTATATTTAAATAGATCATTGTTTGTATATAAAATGCAATTTATAAGACGTTTAAATTGTAAAGCCCTGTGTTTAGAATACGTTAAAATGTAATGATAATATGTATAGTAAAAATTCCAGTCTTCTTCGTTTAATTCACATTTTATACTAAGCTTTCCCTTCGCTGTTGGTTATTCAACAATTTTTGACAATAAAATAGAATACAATAATTTTGATGTACACTTGTTAAACTGATTTTTTTTTTCCATGAACAATATCAAAATTACAGTGTTTTACATCTAAATTGACATTATTTTCAAATACATTATTTCTTATTAGCCAAGTTCTTGGGATGGCTTTTAAAATTCCAAACCATTTCAGCATGTATACATCAGATAGACCTGTTTGTACCTTAATCTGGTGCCATCTTTTAATTGATCCATCTATAAATAAATCTTTAATTTTTATTATGCCTCTATTGAAAAAATTCTATCCAGAAGATTTATTTATTTTGTATCGTGATTTTTTGTTATTCCATATTATTTCCTCTGGTATATCAGTTTGTGAACGGGGCAATTCCATAAATGTTTGAAGCATGTGTATATAATACTTTGGCATATCAATATCCAATTTAGTTATACTTGCAATTCAATACAAATAAGCCCCCTTTTTGACGAAGGTGATAATTTGGAATGACAGTCCATGGAGAATTCCTGTTAGTATCTTTAATCAATTTCTGAACCCACTTTAGTTGGCCACTTTTAATTTTTGTTTTTGAATCACTAATTCTTAAGCCCCCTTCTTTGAAGTCGAAAATTAATGATTTCCTCTTAATTCTATCCCTGCCATTCCATAAAAATTTAAACACAATATCATTGATTTCTTTAAGGTATCTATCTGGTGTATCTATGACCGAACATATAAAATAACCCATATGTTTTCACAATTTATATTTTCCCTATTATTGTTAGTTGTCTAGTTTTCCACAGGTTGAAAGTTTGCTTTAAGTGATTTATCACAACTCTAAAATTTTCCTCATATTTCTTGGTTTCATCATGGTTAAAGAAAACACCCAAAACTTTTATTTCTCTAACCTGTTTAAGTGCACCAATTTTCCAAGTTTCATTTTTTGATTTGCCAATAGTGAAGAGTTCAGTTTTTTTCTAAATTGTTTTTAACCCACTACAATTTTCAAAGTATTTTAGCACTCTCATAGCTTGGTGTACATATTCTTTAATTCTTACAAAAAGTGTCATGTCATCTGCTATAAGTTTTGTCTCCTTATCTTCCCCAATTTTAATCCCTTTGATTGAATGGTCATCTCTAATTGCTTGTGCCAGAAACTCTACCGAGAAAATAAACAATATGGGGGATAAAGGATCTCCTTGCTTAATACCCCTTTCAATATTAAATTGTTCTCCACTAAATCCAAAAACTTTTTTATTTGTCGATTTATGTATCGTAATGAAATTGAAATGTAAAAAGCAAGGTCCTTCAAAACATGAAATCAATCACACAAAGAGAAGAAAATATCAGAACGTTACCACATAAAGCAAATTACTTTATATGAATTATATATACGAACTAATATCTTAAGAATCACAATCAGCTGCTTGCCATGTCGGACAATCATCATTTCAATGCAGATGCAATGCTCAATTTCAAAATATTTTGGTTATCTATTTCCGAGCTTTTGCAATAAAGGGAATACTAAAGAAAATATATAAATTATGTATAAATTATATATAAATTATTAATTCATCAATTAATTATAATTATTAATTAATCTGAATTAGCGGGTTGTAACAATACACATGTTTGAATTACCGACATTTCGAATCCGTTATTCAAAATGCTATTTTACTTTCCAGACTGCGAATTCGTTGTTAGCCCCGCAGACTGCTGTTAGTTTAGACGTTATGACGCAGATGTAGTAGAGGAGGACTTCGCTAAGTGCACTGGTGGCACCGCCTGGAACCAGACTATATGCGGATGCGATTTTGTAGATGTCGAATTCTGTGATTGCCCAAGTGAGTTCTCATTTACATGTTACTTTTTATTATGTTTTTCATAAAACAGAATTTGTCTTTGAAAGTAAACATTAACTGTTAATATTGGTATCAGTAACGTGGTCAGTTTTTCACATTATCTCTTTAAGGTGAACCATTTGAACCAATCGTTGATGAAATATGTAAAAATCAAGCTGCTCTTGACGCAAGTAAGTACCAACAACCATGAGGAAGGATATGAAACACGTTTTCAAAAAATTGTACGTGGCCGTGTAGAATTATGGTCCTCTGTGGATCATTCTGATACTCAGACCATCTCTGCTATGCACAAGGACACCGAGAGAAGGCTGTGATATCTCACGATGTCTGTGGATTAGTTTTCCCGTTTGTACTATTTACCTGGCCGATTGTTTGAGTGGCATGCGGGAAATAATTGTAATTAGGTCCCTGGAAAAATGAATTAAGATCGGGACAGTAATCCCCGGTGGTCGAAATATTAACACAGCTCACGTAAAGGTTTTTTTAAAACGTGTAACTTAACCTTTTTCTAGCCTCCACGGCAGAATGAATATTTAAATATAATTGGATTGAAGTGTTTTGAGAATATAGCTCGTATCCAAGATATTGTAACATGAACCTAAAGAATACGCATTCTCTATTTTATTACATATGATGAAATATTTCAATCGTCGTCAATTTCCTCTCTGTTCTCTGTCTTCAAATAGGAGTGAGTGTTGTTTTGCATTTAACATAACTTAATTAATAGGCCAGGTTATCGCTTTTGTAAATTAAGGTTTACATTTCTGTATTCTTTCAAATGCAACTTTTCAGTGAGATACACATGGAATTATGAGAACGACGTTGTATTATTTGCAATATATCACCATTTTAGGCGGTGGTTGTTGTCAAAACAATAGAGTGTATTACCCTGTTGATGGTGCAAGCAGCAATTTTACCTTTGGCGGTGACATGATGCAATGCCATCCAGTAATGACCTTTGACCTTGCCGAGTGCTGCTGTGTTGGAGACGCCATTGCGGAGGATGAAGCGCCCGATACACCATAAGGGCCACTATAAGACGCCATTATGATGTTACACAGTAAAATACAATACATTGTAAATCTCTAATATGATAAATATGACATTTGTTGATTTGTTGATGTGCTAATTGGAAATATAATAGAGTTAACAAAGGGCTAGAATAGTGTATCCTTTGATCCCTATTGACCGATTGAGAATCGCGATGGCTATCAGCTGCCTACTTAACTGGACATCTCAAAATGTTTCCTAAATCTTGGTGATTCGCATACAGGGATGTGTCGCAAAAAGGTGGTGCATTTGTTTTTAAGGGTATCGCGTGAATGTAAATTTGATTCCCCGGATTACTAGTATAATATAATATTCTAATTAAAGTTATATATCATTTTAAAGCTGTTTCGATGAAGTTTTAGATCAACTACACTCCGTTCACGATTCTTGCGCGTTCTTTTTGAAAAAATAGTTTTTTACCAAAACATCTGGCAAATATCCCCTGTTGACACGTTACATTTTGAATTATTTTTCGTCAAGTTAAGTAAATAAAAAATCAAATGTAAAGATGCTTTAACACGTAGTTCAATGGGGGAGCTAACAGGCTAAGGTTGCCAAACTTATGGAGTGGAGTGTATATTGAAATGAAATGCAAACACAGAAAGCTTATTGAATGCATGGTGAAATTCTCTAAGAGACATATGACATTGTAAAAGAGGGGACTGAGGGGCATGCGCTTTGAAACCCAGGAGGAGCTTGCCTCATAAGTGCATATAGTTGTTTTTCGGTGATTTTCGGTCATATATTGCGCCATAAATCATAAAATCTCGGTCTTTATTCCTCAATTCAAGCGAAATGAATTCCATATCTTTTGGTACATAACACATGATTTATCTGTGTGATCCTGAATACTTCCTTGAATGATACAAAGTGTCCCATTTTTATATCCCAGCCTGTATATTCTACGAAGTCCGAATGGCTCGTAGAATATTATTTTGAGATTCATGATCAGATGATCAGTATAACAGGCTGAGGCCAAGGAATACGATAGAGAATGTTCGTCAATTACTTATGTAGGCCTAATAACAAGAAATGCGATGGGCATAGGCACCGAGCAGATTAAAATGATATTCTGAATTAATCATACTAGGATGTTCTTATTATCCTTAGTGTACTAAATAAATAATATCATTGAAAATTTCCATGTCTGTATTCCTACCAAGTAATATTTGAAACCAAGAAGGATTTAAATAGATCAATTTGGCGGGAAATCAACCAGCGAAGTATATCGTCACAATATCCTCCGCATATTGGTTTGGTTTTCAGGATCGTGGCGATATCATCCGATAATCAATTTTGCCTATAGATATTAAATCTATTTTCTAATGTTATAACATTTTTAGTCCACTAAGTGTAAATAATCAGCTGGTATATCAGTTATCTATCCATGCTTTTGGACTGATTCAACCCGAGGGCATGAGTTGACAAGTATTGGATGTGTCAGCGATACAACAATGCAGTTTAAACTTCCCCGATCCTGCATCGTTTTGGAAAGACGTTCAGTTTCTTTTTGATCATTCGAATGTTTTTCTTGTATTAATACTCACAATGCTCAATGCTCACCTTTTCGATTGACGATTGAAGCATTACTTTTACTTTTTGAATTTGTTTTGGTGAATAGAATATATCGTTTACAACGACATTATTTTTAAGGAATATCATTTCATCACGCCTTCCAGTTTTATGTTGTTTGACGTATTGACATGTGATGGCAAATCAATGCATTTTATTGGTGACATTTATGTGTTTTGATGTATATAAAATCTCAAATAATCCTAAATCTCATCACAAAATCGGGATCTTTCGAAAGCACGCTTGCCAGAAGCAGCCACTTCCAACAACTCAAGATGAACACGTTCGTGATTTTAGCATTTTTTGTGGCCGGCGCCTACAGTCAGCTGAATCAAGTTGCAGACCTGGAAGGAAATCTTTTTGGTAAGGAAAAGGACCTTATACACCCTCCATTGGGATCTCCCCATGGGAAAAAAATAGTTCATCTGATTTTTCAAAATGAGTATTCTGCTTCAATTATTACATTTATATGCACACTAGTATCTTGTTGACCTATATTCAGCACTGTATTGATGTATAGGCCACTTATTAGGGTCATAATTCAATCATGAAGTGTAGAGGCATAGATTCCAAACCAGGAAGTATTTTTGTGTCTGTCAAAATCCATTTACATCCTACGCATCCCTGCATCTTATCCAAATATGTTACTACATAATGAAATATAATAGTATAATCTTTGGTTTTACGAACTTGTATGATATTTGATAAGTGTAAAAGTTGCTTTTGGAGCATTTTTCTATTGCCATTTTGTAGGGAAAAAATGATGAAAGAATGTACAATCTTTTAATTTTAAGTATGACCTGAATCGATTGCAAACTTCACATTTGCACATTTGATGAGATAAACCATTTGTGTTGTATTGTTAAATTATTAAGTTTGCAATCGATTCAGGTCATAGTGTATTTTTGGTATTTCTGTGATAATCAATGGAAACCAATGGCCTCTATTGGGATCTGCTGATATCCTCATGTTAAGTCAATGGTGCACAGCCCCATGTAAGGTAATACAACCTTACTGAACGAAATGATCCCTATCTCAGCTTTAATATCTCAGCACTTTAATATTTCCAAAGTATTATATGACATTTTATTCTTCATGTTACACCTACGAATGATTCATTTTGACCATAGGGATATTTGCCAATAATTGCACCTTGTCCTTTCAAAAGTAAAGGTTGTATTCAAATTCAGACAGCGAAGTGCATTTTCCATTTGGTAATACCATACATGTCATAGTTCGCATATTTTTTGAAACTGTAGATTCTTTTCATACTGTGTGATTTACCTAAAACTTTTTTATTGTCGATTTGTGTATCGTAATGAAATTAAAATGTAAAAAGGTCCTTCAAAACATGAAATCAATCACACAAAGAGAAAAAATATCAGAACGTTACCGCAAAAAGCAATTTACTTTATAGGAACTATATGTGCGAACTAATATCCTAAGAATCATAATCAGCTTCTTTGGTTTGCCATGTCGGACAATCATCATTTCAATACAGAGGTTTCTTGAAACATTTCAAAATATTTTAGTTATCTATTTCCGAGCTATTGCAATGAAGGGAATACTAAAGAAAAGTTGAAGGCTTTAGTGATGTAGCCTAATGATGTCAATTTCACATCCAATTAATATTTTAACCTTATGTAAGAAAAACTAAGGTAAAAACGCATCAAATAATTTCCGGATACCACATTTACCCAGTTCCTCAAAACAATCGTCAATCAGTGTACCCTTTGCATTCGTTTGACTTCACTTCTTAAAAGAGAACTTCGTCTTCAGTAGTTTAACTAGACTCTGCACGCAGGTACAATCAGTGTGAAGAATCGTCGACATCTCGCATACGTTATTCAACTTTCCAGACTGCGAATTTGTTGTTGGCCAGAACTGCTGTTCGATTAGACGTTACGACGCGGATGCATTGGACGAAGACTTCGCTACGTGCATGGGTGGCTCCTCCTGGAACCAGGATATATGCGGATGCGTAGTTCAAGAAAGTTGTGATTGCCCAAGTAAGTTGTCAATAACATAATACTTTAATCATGTTATCTTACATGAACTCATTAACCACCGACTGGGCTATTTGTTTTATTTATACCCACATATACCCAATCATCCAGGGAGGTTTTTCATAAAAACAGAATTTGTCTCATCAGATAAACCTTAATTGTTAATTATGATACCAGTAACGTAATGTCCTTTTTACATTACTTCTTCAAGGTGAACCATTTGAACCAATCGTTGACGATATATGTAAAGATCAAGCTGCTCTTGACGCCAGTAAGTTACAACAAAATAAATACATGTACATGGCTAGCCTACACGCCAGGTTGAGTAATCAAAAATAATTAGATTGACGGGGTGTCAAATATATGTTTTAACCAATAAACCTAGAGAATACGTATTCTAGATCTTTCTAGTTTCTACTTTCAAGATGAAATATTTCATTGGTCGTAAATTTCCTCTCTTTTTCCAGTCTTCAAATATGAGTGAATGGTTTTATTTTTCTATTTCGTGTAATCTGATTACCACACCAGGTAATTTTAATTTTAATTGAGTTATAAAGAATGTTTTGTAGTTTGTAATATTTCAATTTTACAATTTTAGACGGTGCATGTTGTCAAGACAATAGAGCATATTTCCCTGTTGCTGCTGCACCAAGTAACTATACCTTTGGCGGTGAGGAGATGGAATGTCACCCAGTAATGACCTTTGACTTTGGCTCTGAAGTGTGCTCTTGTGTTGGAGAGGCCCTTATGGAGACAGCAGCACCAGGTGCACCATAAGAAGCCATTATAATGTCCTTGAGCAATGAGATAATAAATATTACATGCATAATTGAAAACATGATATCGTTAGCAATTGACCTTTTTCCATATAAATGGAAAATAGATGGCATCATGGGTATTGGTAGGGCTATGGTAGGGCTAGAATACATGTAATGTAAATGTATCGCCAGAGTCACTTAATTTCTTGATTTAAGAAATAATTTCATTTGGATAAACTTAAAACACCATTGGAATGTAACTATATGATCTTATTGGCATGTGCATTGTGATTCACATTAATTGTGATCCTTAGCTTGTAAGAGTAAATGAACTTTAAAGGTTTTTCAGCATTATGTCAATGGGGATTTAGTCCGAACTTTTTTAGACATTAGAATTTGAATAAAGGTGAATAACAGTGCAGATCAAAGTTGTTTCAATAGAAAACACAGAGAATCTCTCCCAGATAATCAATGCTGTCCAATTGTTATTGCTCATATAATATCTCATATACCATGGATATATCTTGAGAATAACTTTTGGGTATATTATTGCCGAAATATCGGAAATGATCAACAGAACAACCAAACTCCAGAATTAAACACAATCGATTCCTCGGCTAGCGAGGGGAATCCCCATTGAGTCACACAAGCGCCCGCAATCGCCTTGAACCAAAATTAACACTGAAAGATGGGGATTTGGGACTTCATCTTTGGTCAGTAGATGGGTGAATATGTGGTGAAACTCAATATGCAAAGAAGTCCAGAGGGGTCTTGATTGTGCTATCCTATCATATGGCATAGAGCATCTTTAATGGTTAAAAATGCAGATCTCCTAAAATCTCATTAAAACCGAGACTTTATCGAGATTTCAAAGCTAAATGGAAAAAGGTCCATCGCTGGAAGGCCTCGTGGTAGAGTCTCGTCAACGAATTTAATAGTAGCACCATTCGCTCAAATGATAATACAAAAGGCCCAAGGACACCACATAGTTCATATATTGCAAGACATAAACTGCGTCTAGATCATGATGCTCAATCATCATTAATTTTCTATATCATGTACAGTACTGTGATACTGCATCAGTAGAATAAACTGCGGAAGCCCGTTGCTCTGTTTCGAAAGCGTGTTAGAGTTATCACCGTGACCTCACTAGACTCCGTAGTAGCGTCCACATTTTTTTGAAATAGAGAGTCGACACAAGTAACCAACAAGTATTGATTTAAATGCTATTTTGTAAAATGTTTGAAGATCCGGTAGTGGAAGATGAAACACATTTTTATTTAGACAACATTTCATTGAAAAACTTGAAACCCTGTGCAATAATATCAAAAGATGGGTGATCATCATCAGATAATTTTTCTTTTGACGAGTATACATAAACTAATGATTGGTATAGATACATTTTGTAGGATCCTTATATCAAAATAACAGATATATGTAATTTGAAGAACGTAGTATTATTTTTATCTTTAATATTAAATATTTTTACTGTAATTTTTTTATAGTGTTGGATTGGTCCTAATAGTGTAGGGCATCAGTATAAATTAATCCTGTTATAACAGGTTGAAGAAAACACATTGTTTACATATTGTGAAACATTAAGGAGCTTTGAGAGTCAGTTGCTATTTCAACAATTTTACATAGCCTAGTTTATTGCAAAACAGAAACTGCTTCTGAATCATGCTATATCTACTCTATGATGATCCTCAACATCATGTACTGCTTTCAATGCATGCTGCTACAATAGTCCACTGTTTCGGAAGCCAGTTTAAGTTGCTTTATTTACAAATTTTTATCTCATATGTACTGTTTCGGAAACATTATACTACTTAAAGAGACCCAACACCTTACAAAACTTCTCAAGGTACGTTCACACCAACGGCGAATGCCACGCTTTAAATCGGCGAGCAAAGCGCCGTCATTTTTGTCATTTTTCTTCATACCAACGGCGCTTTGATGGCGCTTTAAAGCGGCTTGTAAAGCGGCACCAAAGCGTAACAAAGTTTGATTAAAGCGTCTGGGTCGTAATAGGTCGTAGAAAAGCTCAGAGTAAAACGGGATATTCGGCAAGAGCGCCAAAAAATTTTAAACTCTTAAAAAATTTTGGGCGCTCTGTTACGAATCGATTAAGCGCCGAGAGCGTATCAAAGCTTAACAAACCGTAACAAAGCTCAGAAAAACTTGATCCAAAGCGTAGGAAAGCTTAACATAGCTCTAAAAGGTTCCTCACGCTTTGATCCCACTTTGATCAGGCTTTGTTACGCTTGAAATCACGCTTTGAAAACCTTTGATAAGCATTATTACGCTTTGATGCGATTATGACGCTTTAAATCAGGCTCTGATACGATTGCAAAACTCTGTTGTGCATTGTTACGCTCTGTTAAGCTCTGTCACGCATTGGAAAATGTCGAGATCGCCGATTCCATGCCGCTTTTGATCCAATGACTATATAAAGATGCAGTAGATCCATAAAACCATTGCATCTTTGACTCGAGAACACGATGGCAGAACAACGAGATCCAGAAATTCCAGATGGACCAGAGCATGACCTATCTGAAGAAGACATGACGTTTGTCACACGGCGTGATATAGCGTGTGAAAACTTTCAAGCGTAACAAAGCCTAGCAAAGCGTTTCAATCCTTGATTAAAGCGTCTCAATTCGTTGGAAAGCTTGAGAGTCCCTCAGGAAAGTGTTACAAAAAGTGTCAGATATTGATGAAAGCGTCTGACCTCGTGTCAGATCTTCATGCCAGATCGTAGCAAATCTTGAGACATCTTAACGAAGCGTGTCAAGTGGTAACAGACCGTGAATAGACTGGGGTCCCCGCTTTGAACCAAGCTGTGTTAAGCTTTCCTACGCTTTGAGTCAAGCTTTGTTGAGCTTTGTTACGGTTTGTTGAGCTTTGATACGCTCTCGGCGCTTCAATCAATTCGTAACAGAGCGCCCAAAATTTTTAAACAGTTTAACATTTTTTGGCGCTCTTGCCGAATATCCCGCTTTACTCCGAACTTTTCTACGACCTATTACGATCCCGACGCTTTAATCAATCTTTGTTACGCTTTGGTGCCGCTTTACAATCCGCTTTAAAGCGCCATCAAAGCGCCGTTGGTGCGAACGCTTAAACAGTTTAAATTTTTTAGCGCTCTTGCCGAATATCCCGCTTTACTCCCGAGCTTTTCTACGACCTATTACGACCCCGACGCTTTAATTAAGCTTTGTTACGCTTTGGTGCCGCTTTACAAGCCGCTTTAAAGCGCCATCAAAGCGCCGTTGGTGTGAACGTACCATTAACGGAGGGGAATAAGGGAAATGCTTGCCGGATTCTGAATCTGTGTATTTTTACAGAACCAACGGGAATTAAAATATCTCATCGAGATAACCCTCTTAGAGATACCATTGAACAATACCCGAGACTAGTCATTGGTAACTTCAATATATACAATCTAATAGCGCCAAAGATACACCCCCCCTATTTATGTAGGAATGTAGATTTCTTGATTTGTTTGAAGTTTATACTCAACGACTGTTAATGCGCTATTATTTATACTTATTTATTCATTTGTGCTATTATTATATTCAATTTATTAATCAAGCATATATATCGCATGTGCCAAAAATGAGACAGTTTTTGCCAAGTATTTTCTCAGCAACTGATGAACCAAAGTAACTGAGAATTTGTATAAAGCAAAATATAAAAATCAAGTAAATATTCTGTGAGAACTAAGAAATTCAAAATAGCATGTCAAAAATCTCCATACCGGAGCTCTGCGATGAGACCTCTATAGTGTTTGTACCAGCTATCAGGTGATGGCATTTGTTAATCAGTCAAAATAGCTTGTCTGTGTGTCATGTTTACTTAATTTATTTCATTCTTCCCAAATACCCAAAGTCCATTCATTCTCAAAATTCATTGAAGGTGATATTGTTACAATAAATACGGAATGGTATTTTGCTTGGAAAGGTGACTTTTACATTGATATTGGTTATTTTGACATAATGTCTTCAATTTAAAAATACATACATGAGCAGAAGATACCATAAAGTGCCTCAAGTCAAGTTTTCAAATAATTTGACTCAAACAATTGCTGAGAAATTACTTGTGATATTGCTTCCCATTTTTTGTCACAAATGCTATGAAATTCTCATTGCATTGCTCCGGTATGGGATATTTTGACATGCTATCTTGAATTTCTTAGTACTCACATAACATTTACCTGATCTTTTTCATATTTCTGTACCTTGCTAAAGATACTCCTGAGGCTACTTTGTACAAATTTTCAAAACGTTTGGTTCATCACTTGCCGAGAACATACTTGTCAAAAAGTGTCTCATTTTTGGGGACACCCGATATAGGGCATGCACTGTAAATAATTTGTATTTGATTTATTGCTATATGAAGGAAATAAGAAATAAATTCCCTGCCAACATATTCAATGGTTTTTATAGCAAATAGCAAAGTCCATAAATGTGATACAAAAATAGATTTTATTTCAGGTCTAATATACTGTAACATTACATAATCACAAAATGAATAAGTCTGAAGATACAAGTTGTCAGAAAGTACTAAAATCTGCTTGAAACTGTGAAAAATTGTATAGCATATGATCTATTCCACTCAATTTAGTTAAAATTAATAAGTAGCTGTAATCATTGCATAGAAAACACTTTGTGTACTGCTTACACTCCCCTCCATAAGTTTGGCAACCTTAGCTCCCCCAGTGAATGGAAACGTAACTTGACTATTTCCAATACCTCCAAATTCTCCTAATATTTTCCTCAATTACAATAGGTCGAAAATTGGGAAATTTTGATAGGAAATTGAATTGTCTAGCTTTTTTGTACACTTAGTGTTTTGTTTACTCGATGAATACTAAAGTTACAGAGCTTCAAAGTCAGTTTTAAAATTCATTTTTCGCCTCCTGTGTTATTTAAATGGAAGAGTTTTTTTTAAATACAATTTTGACTTTAAAGACATTACTTTGTTGAACCTGAAGAAACGTATCATTTTTTGTTAAAT